CGCTGACTTAATTATTAAGGAATTTAAGCAGATTTGGTTAATTTAGTTGACCAAATTGTGAAAAAACTGGCGGCATTCGGCGGGATTCGAACCCGCATAGAAGGGAGGGCCTTCTACGCAAGCTAGCGCTCTACTTACTTGAGCTACGAATGCCACGCTGATTTATTTACTCGTAAATGCTTCAACCCTTGAAACATTATATAACAGTCCAAGGAAGTCCATTATGTGCCCTAGCACATAGTGGGTGCAGGGAGGATGATTTGCGCATGAATTAATCTACAGTGAGGATACACTTAGGCAACATGCACCGCATTCTCTCCTTCCACGACTGGAGGTGGGATCGTGCGTAGGCGGCTGGCGCGACTTGAGCCGGCGCCTATGCATGCCAACACCCCATCCTCTATGCTATATGTGACATCTGCCGTGCCTGCCATTCTCTGATCCGGCTCCCGCGTTGCTCCAACGCGTCCCCCGCGAGGCACACTGTAGGATAGCCACGAAACATCAACTTAAATGCAGCCACCTTTCTAAAATATTATTTTGATGCTGTTCTAACATTGATCGCCATCGATAACCCCGCTATTACGGCCTGTCGTGACAACTGAACCCGGCGCTTTTCCACCCACTTATGAAAAAGAAGTGCTGCCTTTTATTTGACACATTCCTCTTTGCCGAAGAAATAATTCAGGCAGTTTGACTTAATTTGAAAGAACAGATCTGTCCCTGACCCCAATAAAAGCCCGACCAAGCTGTTGAAGGCCTTAGCCTTGCTATTCCAAACGTCACTTGATACTGAATGCCTACCCTCTGATTAGAAGTCCGCAACGCTCAAAGGCGATCGCCCATATCCCCCTAAATAAATCCCGAACTGCAACACCATAAAAGATACATCAGATTTTGCCAGAATGCACGTTAGTTCGGCTACCTGGGAAAATCACACTCTCTATCAAAACAGGCATGGAATGCTCTGCTCGCGGACATTGTCATGTCCCCATCAGTGAACACATCTAAGATTAATTTAGACTTGTATAGCCACCACGTCGCTACCTTTCAGTTAAACATTAGTTTAGAATAGCTACTACACGCTTCTCTTTATAAGAATTGCTAAAATCGCATCTACCGAACCTTGTGGTCCTAGGCTACGCCACCCTGTAAAGTTCTTCCAAATGGTTTTCCCTAACCGACTGCTGTGGATCGTGGTGACACCCTCTGTTTCGTCACCTGGTCAGCAGAATCGGCAAACCAGCAAGGGTGTACGATGGGCGCATCTCCGACACTCGATGGCGTTCTTCGCAATCTTCTCCTCGTGTGACCCTTAGGAAAATGACAAAAACTGCGACGGGCTTCTCCTGACATGTTTCAAACACTCAACACAGGCCGTCCGACCTGAATATACTTTCCCCCCACCCTCCTTTCCCCACGGGCGACGTTTTTCTCATTAAAACCTCTTAACTGGCATTCAAACCCCTAGAATTTCCGAACAATGTCTAAGGATTTTTTTCACAGTCGGTCATTTTTTACCTAGTTCCCTTTACTGGAAACGCCACTCTTTTGAAATGCTCTACTGCGCCAATGCATTGCGTAACTGTTCTGTACCAATAGGGAGTTCCGTCAATAAAACCTGACCTGACCTGACCTCTTAAGCAGGCATGGTGTTTGCATTTATTTTTTAAAGAATTTATCTAAACAAACCTACCTTCTCATAGTCTAAGAAATTATTTCCTTTCAGTTTCAATGAAGCTTGCATTGGGAAACCTTTTAGGACGGTAAACCTATTATTTACTTGTCATCTTAGCTGTGCGTTTATTAATGCTCTTTGGATACATAAAAGTTCGTTAACATATATATGTAATAAGACATTTCACAAGGAATATCTGACATCTGCTTGATAGATAACAATAAAGAACTGTCTTTTTTGAAGGGGAATTTACAGCGTATATGTTTTGGGTGAAAAGTATTAAAGAACTGAAGTCATTTTTAACAAACGAGAGTAAACCATTTCTTCGTAGATAACATTTTAAGGAGATGAAGTTTACTATGGAATTCGTAGTAGAATGGATTTTTGTTTCATGCTTTCTATATTTGGGCTTATAAAGGCATTTAAAATAAATATGCATAATCATATTACTTAATTATATGCTGTTTAATAAGAGCATGCGACCGGAAAGCCACATCAAACATTGCGGCAAACATTGTCGACCGGAATATCTTGTTATTACGTTGCGCGATAACTAGTCTTGCAACCGCACCTACGCACTTCTGCCTAAACAGCACATCCTTTTGAAATTTCAGTTGTTTTATTTCGTGACTAGCTTCAGCCTCTGAATTATTAATGGAGAAAATTCTTTGCAACAAACGCAAAACGGATTACAACGGCCAGTTCTGACTTATTTGCTGTCCTGAGTACTACACGCTCTAAACCACGCTAGTTGGTCTCGCATATACCTAGCTTAAACGTCTTTTCACGACACCAATCAAGAATTCCACAAATTACACCATAGCGGTGCTAGTTGAAGGCGAAAATGTGGTCTTTTTTAGGAGGCTGTGAGCTGGATACCTGATGATATCAGAAAGCTAGAAATGGCCGTTTTAGCTTCTCCTGTCCCTGTCGGCATTTCGGACACCTGACAGAACTATTGAGTGAAATTGACCTGTGGTCTTTTTACAGGGGGCTTGGGGCTGACTACCTGACGATGCCTATAAGCTAGAAATAATCGCTCCAGCTCCTCTCACTCTGCCGGAGTTTCGGCCACCAGACAGAACTATTAGGTGTCAACGTCCTGCTGCGCTCAAGCCTAAAAACACTTCTTGTGAAAAGAAGCGGGTGTGATCGCTGGCACAAGAACTTTATTCGCCTGACGTTTCGAAATTTGTCACAGATCCATCATCAGAGCCAGTAGAAGAAATGGGTAATTCATCTACAGGGGTTGTAATATATATATAGGATATAGTCACTATGCTACTGCATATTTATGAAAATTAACGGGTCTCCCTTTTGGGGATAATTGCCCGCTTGTGCGCTAATTTCTCGATAGCCGGCGTGCGGGTCGTAACCTGCGACAGTTTCATCGTCTATGGTGGACTTGGACATGATGATTGCTCGACCACCTGGATCTCTGGCGCAGGCATTAGACGAAGCGTTCGCCTGTGCGTTCCCCGAGTTTGGTCAAACTGAGCTTCCGCACCGAATATGGATTGGGCAGGTGGTTGCACTTGTTTAGTGACTGGGGGCCCGTGAACCAAGTAACTCGCCACTCGCAGGATTTTCACTTCTCGCAATAATTTCAGCCTCCTCACATTTGTATGTGTCTGGTCTGTTAGGAGGAACTAAACGGACAGCTAGCAGGCAGCTAGCATACAGTTAGCGAGCCGCGCTCACGACAGGCTATCTATCGGCCTACACGCTTCGAACGCATATTGGCAGTCAATTAATCAATAATTTAAGCTGCAGCCAGCCAGTGAGTTACAAGCCAATTGTGTCGCTACCCACGCCAGGAAAGAAGCTGATTGGCCCGATGGGCATAGTTTTACACGCGTTTGTTGCCCTAAATATGTTGCACTAATTACGCTCAAAGACTTCTGATTTTGCCCACTTCTTGTCGTGCTCTTGTTTGGGAGGCTCAGGCAAGACATAATTAGGCGGTGACATCTCGGTTTGGCTACCATTACAACATGACCGGGTCTCGTCGAATGGGCCGCGAACTTACAACTGAAGTCCTATAAATACTGCAATACTTTGTGTGTGAATTACCCGTTTCTGCTATCGTCTCTTATAACGATGGAACCGCACCGAATTTCGAGAGGTCAGGCCATTAAAATTCTTGTCCCATCAATTATATCTGCGTCACTTCTCAAGCACTTCCTAGGACTCGCATTTTCGCGCTTCTGTTGGCAGTACTTGTTGTCCTCGTACATGCTCTTTGACCGGGACAAGAATTGGGAAAACTTGACCGATAATCAGTTCCGGCCGTACCTGGGCAAAATCTCGGGAGGTCTGATGACGCAGTTCGGTGAACTGCCTGCGCAGGGCAACCACTTCGCGCCAAAGCGCCAGCAGCCGATTGTGCTCTGAGGCGAAGTAGTCGTTGAAGGCGACCTCCTCGGTGTGCCATTCCACCTCACGACGCTCCAACTGCTGAGTGGCCTGACGCCAGG